TTTTTTTGGTGGGCAGCAAAAAAAGTTTATTGAGTGATAGTAAAATTTATTGAGTGATAGTACAAGTTTCTGGAAGAGGGAGGAGACCCTAGAAGGTTGCCCTCTAAGTATTTTGTTCTTTTTGATGCTGTTACAAAATGAATTATTTTCTTAATTTCATCTTTGGATTGTTCATTACTAGTGTATAGAAATATAACTGAGTTTTATATGATGATCTCATATCCTGCAACTTTGCTGAATTTATTTATTAGCTGTAATAGGATTTTGTTTTGTTGGATTTTCTATGCATTAGATCATGTCATCTGCAAATAGAAATAGTTCACTTTTTCCTTTCCAATTTTGGATACATTTTATTTCTTTTTCTTGCCTAGTTGTTCTAGCTAAAACTTCCAGCACATGATGAAGAGAAGCAGCAGAAGTGGGTATCCTGGTCTTTTTCTTGATCTTGGGAGAAAAGCCTTCAGTCTCTCACTATTGAGTGTAATGTTTGCTGTGGGTTTTTGATAGATGTCCTTTATCATGTTGAGGAAGTTTCTTTTTTTTTTTTTTAAGTTTCTTTCTAGTCACAGCTTATTGAGTCTTTTTATCATAGAAAGGTATTGGATTTCATCAAATGCTTTTTCTGCATCTGTTGAGATGATTTTTTTTTAAAGATTTTATTTATTTATTTGACAGAGAGAGACACAGCGAGAGCAGGAACACAAGCAGGGGGAATGGGAGAGGGAGAAGCAGGTCTCCTGCTGAGCAGGGAGCCTGATGTGGGACTCGATCCCAGGACCCTGGGATCATGACCTGAGCCGAAGGCAGACGCTTAACGACTGAGCCACCCAGGCGCCCCATGTTGAGATGATTAAATGGGGTTTTCCCCTCTGTTCTAGTAATGTGATGTATTATATTGATTGAGTTTTGTCTGTTGAATTACCCTTGCATTCCTAGAATAAATCCCCTCTTAGTCATAGTGCATAATCCTTTGAAAAATGCTGCTGGATTAAGTTTGCTCATATTTTGTTGAAGAGTTTTGTATATATATTTATAAGGGATATTTATCGGGAGATTTCTTTCTTGTGATGTCATTGCTGAGCTCTAAGAGTTCTTTATATATGTTGTGTACAAGTCATTTGCTGAAAATGTAATTTGCTGATATTTTCTCCCATTCTATGAGTAGAATTTTTTTTTAACTTTTAAAATAGATTTTATTTATTTTTTTGAGAGAGAGAGAGAGCACAAGCAGGGGGAGGGGCAGAGGGAGAAGCAGACTCCCCGCTGAGCAGGGAGCCCCATGCTTGGCTCCATCCCAGGACACTAAGACCATGACCAGAGCCAAAGGCAGATGCTTAACCACTGAGCCACCCAGGAGCCCCAATCCTGTACCTGTTTTGTCAGATTTCTATGTATTTCATTTATTAT